CCCCAAAACCCCAAAACCCCAAAACCCCAAAACCCCATGTATAACCCTCTACATAGGTTACTAAATATTATATTAATCAAACTATTGTTATAGTTTTAAACTAGTTTCTAAAAATAATGAAGTTTCATAAAAAAGCGATGCTGGAGTTATTTCCTGATCAAATCTAAATTTTTATTTAGTAAAGTTCTGTTTTGGCAAGATTTCTTTTAGAATTGATTTCATTTCGCTCATCTGTTGTTCTATCTTCTCTTCAATTCTCTTTTCATTGACAATTATTTCCTTTCTAAGTTCTCTAATCTCCTTTACTCCCTCATCAATATCTGACTCTTCAGAATCCATTTGATATTGATCTTCTTTGTCTTTAGAGTCTTGGATGGCATCTCCCAAAATGTCAGTCGACTTTTTCTTCTTTGCTTTTTCCTTGACAAAATCTCTGTAGGCAGGGAACCAGTCATTCTTGTTCTGCTCAAGACAAGCATGCACATGGATATCTCTATAATCAGTCCTTTCACTTTCCAGCATTGCTTTTAAGTATCCAATGTAGTACATGTAATCCCAGATGTTATGCTTGAATCTTCAATGTTGAACGAAATCTGGGAGGTCACTCGATAATTTTCCTCACACAAATCACTGATCATTTTGCCTTTGTCTAATGGTGTCACTATTTGATCTTCTTTCTCCAAAATTATCGATAATAATACCACTCAAGATATTCAAAAGGAGAGTTGGGACAAAGAAGTAAAAGAAGAAGTCATACCAAATTCTTGGTCCTTTAGGCTTATACAAATTCTCACCAGCATCTTCTTCCATTATAGCAGATCTCCCATTATCAGCCAGAAAAGCCCCTAGCCCAAACTTGTACCAAGAATCAAAAATAACTATCAAGCAGTTCACCAGTGCAATGTTGGAATCCTTCACAACACCGTTGAAGTCATTTCCGAAATAAACAAAGGCTACAATAGCAAACCAGTATAGGATTATGGCACTCAAGGCAACAGTTGATAAAATACGTTTTTTTGGGTTCCACACAGCATTAGTTACTTCGAGGATATGAGGAGAGAATATTATCAGATAAGACATAGTGAATGAGAACCAGAAGAAATCAATAAAAACCCCAGCAACAGAGAACCCTAAACAAAGCAGAATACACCAGATACTCCTTGCTTGTAAGGTTTCTTCTTTATTTCTTATCGTGTACCAAAATACTTTTAGATAATGAAAGCATTTTCCTTTCTTTTTGTTTTCTTCGGATTCCTTAATAGCTCTCTTCTCTTGAAGCTTCAGTACAATGATCCCCTGAATTATAGTCATATAAAAGAAGAATGCTAAATTGATAGATCCAAGAATGTAGAGTAAAAGTCTTGTCAGTTTAGAGGCCAAACCAAATAGTTGTGGATTGTCAAGAGTCTTTCCATCATTAACTTCGAGTCCAAAAAATAATATGAAGTTAACAGCTAATACAAGAAATCTACCCACATCTGTGAGCCAATTGTTCTTTTTCGTAACATCTCTTGGGCAAATCCAGTATCCCTGAACTTTTTGTTGAATAAAGAGCTCCTCAATCTTATCGTTTGCAAATTCCATGAAAGATGCAACAGTAGTCTTACTGTTATCGAGATTAGCTTCCAGCCAAAAGTTGTCTTTCTCAGTCTGTGTAAATGACAAGAATCAAGGTAAAATTTCAAAGTGTCGAGTTATCAATTTGCCATTCTCCATTACTATTTCTATATTCGAACTATAGCTGTCAAAGAAATCAGTAGACTCAGCTACTAAGTTTTGATTTTCCTCAAAAGGCTGATACCTAATGCTAGAAATAATGCCATATTTATTTTTATAATTTGTGAGGCAAAAATAAAGACTAGTCAATAGTCTCCAATACTTTTCAGAAAGACCCTCGGTGTCAAATTTTTGCACTCAGTTGGAGTCTGGCTGCCCATTATTGTTCCATATTTTGTTAATGAGATAATAGCATTGAAATCCAAGGTTTATGTTATAGATTTTAGCCAACTCCGATTCTGAGTTGGAGAGTTTAGAGGAGTAAATTTGGCCATAACAGATTCGGAACTGTACGTAATTTAGCACCATCAGGTTGTTGACAATAGCATAATTATCTTGGTTTTGGATATGGTGCTTTGTAGTTGGAAGGAGGAGTAAATTCAGCATTCACAGAACTTCTTGTTTCAGCAGATTGTATTTTTGGAATCTTTGTAAATCAATTGGCTTCTGGTATTCTTCAATCTCATTTGACATAATCTTAAAGCAAGAATCCTTTTGTACCTTGGTCAAAAATTTGACTTCCTCTTCTGAAAACCCGTTTTGTAAAATTTCCATTGAATATCGAACTACATTGGAATCAGCATACTGATTAGTTAGAAACTCATTTCTCCCATTGACTGATGCAGTTATGAACTTAACAATCACTCTTAACAAGTCTATTACATACTCATGGTTGAGTCTGAGGACACTTGTCCTCATCAAATTAACTACCGCATGAACAATGCTTTCGTTCTGAGAAGAAAAGTCTTGTTTCTTTAAATTCTCTTGCCAGTGACAATTGTTATCACACAAGATTGCCAGCCATTCTAATGAGAAAAGTAGTTCTCCGAAGTCTGTTTTCTCTAAATTAGCTCCAGTCATTAAAGCTAATTTTTCATTAAGAAAGAAATCACTAAATTGTTCTCAAATTCGATTGATTCTATTGAAAAGCCTTCTTTCGTTGTCGTTAATGTATGTCCATCTTCTAAAGCTCTTCCTCGCCTCTGAAGTGCTGGCTTTCATGATCTTGATCAATAATTCATATGCAAATTGTCTGACTCTTGAAGCACACTCAGTATAATTATACTCTTTTATAATCAGAGAAAACAGAGTGTTAGTCGCATGTTTAGTGCAAAAAATGTACTTTATCTCTGAATTCATCATTATTTGTTGATTATCAAGTATTTCATTAAGCATTTTAAGGATATGATAAATGAAACTCTTTGTGTCAAATAATGGGGCAAGGTCATCAAGCCTAGAAAAAAATTTATTTATTAAAAGTTGGAATTTTCGAGTTCATTCTCTTGATTTTTTTATATCAGGACTTTGACAGTCATTGATGAATTGGTCAATCATGGTTCTCATTAATTTTGAATTTATTTTCTCATTTCCTATGTCGATAATCGACCCTACAGAGAAATATTTTCAATAAGGATCAGAGTTTTTGTTAGCAATAGGTTTTATTTCTTCAGCTGCCCCTCATAAAGAATTTTTTGTAATAATTTGAATAAAATACTCAAGGAATTTTTCACTTTTTTCAAACATTTTTCTTTCTTCATTTATCCCATCATTTTCTTTTTGTAAGTCTATCTCTTCAAATATAATTTTTCCTTCCTTTTCAATCAAAATTTCCCTCTTCAAGTCAATCTTTCTCAACAAGTCTAAAGAGTCTAAGTTAAACTGTTCAAATTCGCTTCTTATCAAGATCTGTTTGATCATTTCAAGGTGTAAATCATTTCAGAACTTATTCTGCCAGAGGATGGTAAAGAAAAATCCATTAAATTTCCAGACTGCCTTTGCTATTGATGAATATTGGACAGCTTCAATGATGCATTCGTAACAACTTGATACATATCTGTTAGCAGCTTTGATACAATTTAGATCAACATCTCCAGTGAAATCCAAGAGCCCATTGACTTTAACAAGGAATGTAATAATAGTATAAATCCCCTTGATGTGCTGTTTATGCAAGTCTTCCTCTGTTAAACTGAACTCTTCAGGATTTGTAAAATTATTTTGGATTTTATGAATTTCTTTTAGAAAAGGGATGACTAGACTCTCATGTTCTCTTTTAGATAAGTTAAAAAAATGGAAGGCAGCTGAGTGATAGCCGAGAGAGATATTGATTTTGTTGTCTGTTTTCATCGTATTGTTGTGGTAAATTTTGACAATTTAGATCAAGTTTTCCGATAAGATCAAAAATTTCTAAAGAAGCTTCAAGTTCAAAATCAAAATTTAGCCACTTGATGATCACTTTTTGAAGTGTTTTGATTAATTCTAAGTACTCTTCTGATGAAGAATCTGACATAATCTCTGAAATGAAAGGGAATGATTTTCAAGACATTTTCTGGTTCTCTTCTTTATTATTAATCTCAAAAATAATATTGAGGGTTTTAAAAATTTTGTAGATAATTTCTCTCTTATAAGAATCTATTACTACATCTACATCATGGAAGATATCATTAGTAGCTCTTTGGTTGGCTTCGATCAACCTTCCACTATAATATTGCATCCCCTCAGTCTCGTCAAAAGCATGAGGTTTCGGAAGTATGAATATTTCTGACAATGAAGAAAGCAGTTTAATAATAGACTTTAAAGAACCTTTTTGTTTTAATTTAGTGAGTATGAATTGTTGACACTCTGAACTTTGGAGCATTCATATTATCAAGCCTAAAATCTCTCAAAGGAGGAATCAATCTTCTGCAGAATCGCTGGCATTGAAAGAAGATAAGGTTTCAAGATTACAGTCAATAATTTTATTCAAATCTCCTTCATCAATTTTAAGGGAAGACTCTCAGTTTTGAGAAGGAAAATTTATATTTGAAAATAGTATCACGAGAAGTCCTTTAATATGAGAGCAAAGTTCATTATCGCTATATCCTTGAGAGATAAGTTTATTCCATTTAGTTATTAAATCAGCATCATTATTGCCATCTTTGAAGGTGAAACTGTAAATTACAATTTTAACTAGTTTTAGCAAACTGTTATTTTGATTATAAGACATGATTGCCGCTTCCTTTCTTCCTTCATAAAACATTAGTTCTCAGAAATCCTGATCCTCTCATTTCTTTTTCTTATAACTTAGAGAGGCTTTGTTCATTTCAGTAAAGTCCAAGTCTTTGATGTCTCTTATATGATCTAACAAGTAATCTCCTAGGTACTCAATAACTGCATAATTCAATCCGTCATAACTCCATATTACGTTTTGATCCCTGAATTTGTTCGAAACTATTCCAAGCAAAAGAGAGAAGTTACACTTCTCGTTTTCTTTGTTTATCTCACTGTCATTTTCTTTGGTCAACTTATCATTGGTTTTTGTCAGCTCGTATTGGATAAAAGGCAAGAAGGATTCGACTTCATAAACATTGATTGACTTTGCTATATTATATTCATATCTGTGGATGCATTTTTAATAAATAAGTAGAAATTAATTCCTAAGAAATTCAGTAGAAGAAAAGTATAACTTTCTTTGAACCAAAGGATAGGCAATAAGCCAAATTATACTCTAATAACTCATTATTCCTACATTTAGATCTGATGAAACCATCTCTGTACGTCATGTTGACAATCGTTGTAAGCATTAGAAGTTTCCTAAATATTAAAAGCATTCTTGCCTTGAATCATTATTCAACTCTGCTCATTCTTCTTGGTCAGTAACAATGTGCTTTGCTAGTTTAAGAATAGAGGAAATCTGATACTTTGACTCAGAGCATCAGAAAGCTAGCATATATTCGCAATGTGCATAATAATCTAATTCTGAGCAAATATCTATGAGAAAACATAAGAGGATAGACTTAGAAACTCCCAAAGAAATCGAACTGATTCTATGATAAAGACAATGGGGCAATGAGGATTATTTTTGGAAAATAAATTAACCTTTTATTGGAGTCATAAAAGTTATTTAAGCTTAAGATAGAGCATAAATATATTATCCGTTAGCTTCCTACAAAACTATATTCGTGTTCTAAATAAATTAGCTAGAATTAAAGAAATGATGTTTGAGAGAAATAGTGTTGGTTATCAAAAATGGGAAAAGGAAATGACTCAATCATTACTAAAACAGCAAAGGATCTTTAAAATATAGGCTTGAACTTGTGATTTCCGATTATGACAAATATTAAATCTAACGCATTGTTCAACCTGGAGTGTTTTGGCTATCGTCCAGACCAGCCTATAGAATTAAAATTAAAATGCAATTTAGAAAAATTACTGGATTACTTACCTTACCAATTCTACTCAATTTTTCTTTCCGTCTTATTAATTCTTGTCTGATTTGTTTAAGGATTCGAAATTCCTTTTTCCATAAATTCCAGAATTGTGACAAAAAGGAGGTTTCCTTAATATTAATATAACCTAGAAAAATTTAATTTTCTGGAAAATAATTTTAAGGGGGTATATTAGGTCAACTAACTTACCATTTGAGCACATGCTTTTTCAATATTGTATATTTTCTTTGGTGTGTTCTTTAGATGTAAACATCTCAAAAGACCAGTGCAAACTGCTTTTAATGCCTTTATAAAGTTGTATCAAATCATCAGGGTTAAAATTTTCCATTTCTCTTTTTGCTATTCGTTCAAAAGATTTGAAAGAATCTTTCCTAAAAATACCTTCAATTGAAAATTCTAAAGGCAGAGGTTGACGGGGGTTGGATGTGCTGAAGATAGAAATAAAAGGAGTTTTGATCCTGAAAGTCTCACTTTGTGACCACAAGCTCATTTACTCCTTTTTGAATAGAAGGGATACTTCGGAGATATTTGTCTGAGTTAGGAATTTTTATACGGAAGGGATTGTTCCATATCAATCCATTTTCATCTCTGCCATCTAGTTCTACTTCAAAAAAGTATTCATAATCGACCAGAGTTAATTTTCCATCTTCGTATCCAAAATATTTTTCAGAATATTGGTTAAATAGCTGGTTAAAGTATTTAAATTCTGTTTGAAACTTGATTCTACTTTGAGTAGGAAAGTATTCGATTTTAAAATAATTTTTGAAGGGGATTCTGGAAAGGGAATCATATTTCATAACATTTATTCTGCACTCTTCTTTCGGATCATGCAAAGGTTCATCAAAATAGTTTTGACTAATATTGATGCATTGAGATTCTTCGTCAAAGATGCAAAATGATTTATATTGATTAATTTGTTTGTGGGCTATATATCAAATTATTTATTTTGAAAATTAGCCTTTCTTTGAACTCAGGACCAATAAGCAAATAGAAATAATTCTTAGCAATAGATTCTGACAGAAAATTTTAGTTTATGATATATCTCTCATTTTTAATATAAATTTCGCAAAGAAAATGCAGATGGAAAATTAGCTACCTTCATCTTCATTTTCTTGATTGTTTTTATTGATTGTTTCTAGAAAATAACAATAATATAGTTACCAAGTTCTATTATTGCTTTATCTTCCTCTTCGTGAGCTGCATATTATTTTTAATCCTTACTTAATGAATGATCATATTTGCCTAAACTAATGAATTTGTTATGATAAAGAGTTGAGAGGTAATAACTAGTGTTAGGATATACACCAGCTTTTACATCTGATTCTTTTATTCTAGTAATCTCCCATTCATTAGTTGAAAATTCTACATTCTTAAGTTTGGTGCTAAACATTAGAATCATCGGAGCTTCAGTTGCTAGACAAAATTTCTGGTTTTTATTAAGAGGTCTTCGAGTAGCCTTCTTAATAAAAGAGCAGTTGATGGCCACGTTTTCTAACACATCTTCATACATGTCTTGTACATCTTTATTTTCCCATTCAGAGTTAGGAGGAAATTGACTTGGGAGACCTCCTTGATAAGTAAATGTCTTAGATTTGTCAACAAGCAAAGATTCGATTGTCAAAATTGATTTATCTCAAATCTCTTCTCTCCAATCCAAATGAAAACTATAAAATAATTGCTAAAAGGATAAAAATTTGAGGTTGAGGTTTTAAATAAACTCTTTCTAAGGAAAATAATTAACATTTTATCTTTATTTAAATTCTGTGAAAGCACTTTCATGAATTATTTCTGAAATCTTTTTAAGGCAAATATAATCGCAAAGTAAATTTAAATGTAATTCGAGCTAAAATTGGTATAGATGAAAGTTTGTGCTATTTCATATAAAATTGTCTTTTTAAAATGAAACTCATTGTATAGAATAAAATGAAACGATTTTACCCATTCAACGTCAAGTATTTATATTTTCCGAGTTTCTTGCAATAAGTCTTGAAGATAATTTGATCTCCTATCATAATAGGCTTGTTTTTAAGTTTAGCTCTTTCCTTTTCCTTTATTTGTGCTCCCTCTTCTCTTGCTTCTATATAAAGTTAGTTTGAAGCACTCTCTAACATGAATTGATATGTGCTTACCTTTACATTTCTTCAGATGCTGCTCTTTGAGTTCTCTATAGAACAAAAGTTAAGGTTTAGGGCTTGGATCTGTAATTAGATAATCTGACGATAAAGAGAACTCATTTGAAATTGAAATTTTATTAGCAAGATATTTAGAAAGAAAGCAATTTCTAGTTTTACTTCAATGTTACTGAGAGAAATTTTTATAAAATAGCTTTCCTCATTTACAGAAGTTAAACTGGAGAATATGTCTCTTAACTCATATAAATGAGGTTCAAATATTTCTTCAAAAGCTATGTTTTTTGCCAATTAATCCATAAGATAGTTTAAAGATATTGAGAACTGCTAAAAGAACATAGATAAAGTAAAAACAGAAAAATAAGCTAAATACTCTAAAAAAATTAATATACAATAAAATAATTGATAGGATGGCATTTCATCACTAATCTTCATAAAGTTCTCTTTAGAATTGTATGATTGAAACCTAAACTTAGGCCTTGCAGTAGCGATAGTAGACTAATGATTACATAATCTGATCGATTGATTGAATCGAAATAAACATAGTAGATGATATGTATCGATTGATAACCTATTCATAAGATCGATGGTGTAACACCTATCATTGCTTATATCAAATCTCTCATCAAAATTTAATGAAAATTAGAGAAAATTCAGGATGAAATCTAATACATCCTTTTACCAAGTAAACCTCAACTTTATGATGGGCAATCCCTTCATGCAAAGACCATAAAATGCTCACAAATAATTGGAAAAGTTTTGAAAATTAGGCTAAATTTAACATTTTGCACTAGAATTTTTTAAATTCTGCCTGAGGTGTTGGAAGATTATTCTCAACCCACCCTTTTAAAAAAGAATCCAATGGCAACTTTAGATTAGCTAGCCAGAGAAAAGTCTTGAAGTTTTTGAGAATTCTAACCTGCTAAAGAATTTGAGAAATTCTCTACTAATTTTGGATAATTTTTATTGAAAATTATGAAGTATGAACAAATTCCCTATCTCATAATTTTTGAGTCTGAGGGGCAGAAGACATAAGATGTGTAGGGTAAGCTAGTTAGTAGATAAGTGCCCTAGGGTTACATCCTACCTCTCCCTCAGTCATCCCATCTCCGATATAAAATTTGGCTTAGGAGCCTGTTACAGACTCCGAAAATTGCGAAAATTTTAAGATTTATATGGAAACTCTGAAATATCAACTTATTACCTAAGCGAGCATATTAATTAGAGATAAGCCTAAAATTAGAATTAAATAAATGACAACTGAATATTTACTCTATTTCTTCTTCAGTCATTTCAGAAAATCGTTTCTTGAGATTATGATTTTCTTTCCATTCATCACCTTCTTTCTCCGCTTGATTTATAATTTCCTTATTTTTTCTGTGCTCTTTCTCTTTTTAAGGCTAAAATTTGTAAGATTAGAGAGATTATATGGATCAAGTTTTATTCTTAAAATCTATTTTCACAGAATATAGTTTTAGGAAATGATAATAAGTTAAATATTTCCTCTACTTACTCAAATCTATCTTCATCATTTAGGTATTTTGTATGGTTTTGAGATTCATCTTCCCTCACTGGTTCTTCTTCAGAACTCTCTTCAATATTATACTTTGGATCCGCATTATTTTGTGGATCTTGACTCGCCTTCTCTTCTTCCCAATCCTCCTTATTCTCCTCTTTGGGGAGATCTGTATCTGGAGCTTTTCTGATTCCTTCATTGATTTCTTCTTTTTCCAATAACTCTTCAATAGTATTCTCAAGCTCACCCTTATCTATATATTTGTGTGAAAAGATGTGGAGAAGTGTGTAATTCTAAACTTTGCTAGTTATAAAATTCTGATAGTCCCAACATAAAGAATTTCTAGTGTCTGGTCAATATTATTAATTTTCCAAGCATTTTAAAGATGTTTCCAAGCCAAATAAGGAGGCATAAGCAGCTTAGAAAAGTTTGATTAAATCTCTTTGCTTTATTTCTAAGGAAAAGAGAATATTATATTATTATCTTAACAAGTTTAATATTGATTCATAACAACTAAATTGATAATGCTGAAACTCTTCAACACCCACCACTCCTAACAGTAAAAATTAAATAACTGATGATATTATCGTAGAATAATACGAAACAGAGTAATGGGAGGATAAGGGAAATGTTCAGGAAATAATCAATGAGGACCTATAAGTCTTGATTCCTCTAAATTAATTTACTAATCAGTTCTTATATTTGTCTTGGTAATGTTGTTTCCAAAATTTTCTAATAAATGCGGGACTGAAAATAATAATTCCTAAGAGGTAGTATTTCAAGAAATTGAAAAATTATGAGAAGGAGTCTTGGTTCAATGAAGATGTGGGATATATAGCATTAATTTACAGGATAATAATTCTAATTATGTAATAGAACTTTTAGTCCCTCTCTAACATAAAAGTTATATCACTTGTTCCTGGAATAATAATCATATTTAAAATTTAACTGTAAACCATGAAAATGGAAGAAGGCTGTAGCAAAATTATCAAATTTTTCAATGAAGTGGCTTATTCAGAGTAACCAGTGATAAATTGAGGAATTGGACTATAAAGAATTACTTTTAGAACTTAAAATCCCAAAGGGGGTGTTTTCTGTTATTATTATAAACTGAGTAACAGACTCTTAAAATACCTGAGCACTGTAAAACAGCATTGGCTCAAATTTAGGTGAAACATATCCTGGAGGTGCTCAATAGTATAATTATTGATACCTGGAGTCTTTAAACCCTCATCAGAGGCCTTTAGCAGATCTTACCTTGAGGAACAACTTTATTCCGTTTTTCCATAAGAAATATTATAAATAAATTTATAGACGTGGGGTTTTGGGGTTTTGGGGTTTTGGGGTGATCG